CAGAGACAAACTCCTTCTCCTGAAAACTCACTAGGCGCGTGACAAGACCTATGTCAACAGCGAGATGGAAAAAGCTTTGCAAAATTTATCAAACTCACTGAAATGTGCAATTGTGAAACCCTCTAGTGGTTAGAGTAAGAGAAGCAACTGAAACATCTAAACCAGCAAAACCCCTGCTTTCAACAAGAAGTCACAAACTCGACTTTACAAACGCTGCTATTTTAGATAAAAACGGGGTGTTCTGCCTGTCTCTCTTACCAGGAAAGCAGTGCCCTACTCACCACAGCTCAAAATAGGGTTGAAAGACATTATCCTGTGACTGCTATAAAAAGAAAATTATTTATTTATATCATGTTTAATAAAGCATTGCAGAAGGACTTGAATTTCTCTTTTTAAATATGCAGTCCAAACATTTCAGTAATTCATTCAGAAAAAAACCCCTTTTTTAGCATATCAGCACTCTCCTAACAGATTTTAAAGACAATATTTATCATAGACATCTGCCCTACTTACTTACCATAAACATTCCAATCCAACTGTGTTCAAGCCTTAGAACAAAGCAGAGCTCTAACTGTACCCTTTCAATGCCACAGCTGTCTCTTCAGATTTACATAATACTTTTTCTTACTCTCAAGAGTAAGCACATCGACTGAACTTGGTGCTGACTGGACCTACAGAGCTGGCCCCGATTTACCACGATCTATCAAATCCTACCAATGAAAGGAGAGAGAGAGAAAGTGCGCGCACATGCACGCAAGGAGAGTGAGCGAGCAAAAAATAAATTCAGAAGAGGAAGAAACAGCATGTAACTGTAAGATGACAACCTGCCGCCTCGCTTGAGCCTCTCTGAGCGGAAGTTCTCATAGTGAAGATCCTGGGTCACCTCCTGAAGATCTTGCATATGGGTGCTGGAGGAAGAAAAATAATTAAAAGCTAAACGTACCTGTGTCACAACAGCTTGTTTAACCAGCCCTCACATTCAGCAGTGTATTGGGGTCAATGTGTTCAGTGCATACACCCATTTACCATGCTAATTTAAAAGCTAAGTTACATCACCGCAATAAAAGACGCATAGAGAGACCACCTCAGACTCTGAGGCAACCCTGACATAAGCTGTCCTCATGATGAAGCAGTGCTAGGCAGGGGAGGCAGAGTAGGAAAGCCTGAAATAAATCAGTCAGTTGACTTTTGAAGTCTACTCCTTTGTGGATATAGATATCTACACATAGATATATCTAAATAAGCATGAGGTGTGAAGCAATCTGTTTTATGTCCCTGGGGATCTGAATAGCAATACAACACTGTTCGACAAAAGAGTTAAATAAAAGACTGTTTTCATAGAAACGCTGAGTAATTCAGATTGAAAAGACCCTATGGAACCTGTGTGGTCCAATCCCTGCCCAGACCGAGGCCAGTGAGGTCAAGGTTGCTCACGGACCTCTCCAAATTCTGAACGTCTCCCAGGATTCCACAACTGCTCCAAACCCCCGGTACAGTGTTTGAGCACCTTCCTAGTGATTGTTTTTTAAACTACCATTTAATTGGAGTTTTCTAACTTACATTAACATGGTTCTCAGCTTCAGGAAGTCATTATGTTCCGGATTCTCCACTTCAACTACACCCCACGGGTAGAGTCGGCCTCTAACTTTTTTACCTTTGGCTTCAATGAGTTGATTGGATCCCACTACACAAAATGGAATGCTGGCCTGAAAGCCAAAAATGCAAAAATTACCAATAATGAACCAGGACAAACAACTCCAAGAACTTCTGTTCTGCTCAGCACTGCATATCATGGCAGTAAGTTTGGAATGCTTTTCATTTGAAGGTGTTAAAAAAAAATAAATTGTTACATCCTGGGCACAGAGACACAGTGACTCGCTCAAGGTGTCCTCACAGGTGACAGTACCTATCTTGTTCTAAAGCCATCTGAGCAGTATTATCCACATATGTAACCTATGAAGCTGGTCATACCTTCAGGAGTCTGGTCTGCTCTTTAAAATCTTCATCCTCATCTGATTCAGCATCAGGCAGGTGATAAATCTTGATGCCATGCTCTTCTATTTCATCCAGAATCTGAGGTTTAACATATAAGAAACTGAGATAATATACATGTAAACTCAGTACTTTAAAATCTTAAGGTAAAATTACTTTATCGGTTATACACAATCTTGAGAAATCTGGATCTATCCTACTGATCCAAATTACTCAGCAAGTGTTTGTTTTTAAACATCGTATTTCTTCATGATATTCAACAACCACTTGGCACAGACTGTCAGACAAACAGTAGTGCTCAAGAATACATTGTCCTTTATGGATTACACGTAAGAAATTGAGGTTCTTTTAAATCTTTGCAATTTTTTTAAATTGACTTAGAATTTTTAATTTTAATTAAAAAAATTTAATTTTAAAATTTTTCATTTTAATTGACTTAGAATTCATAATTGCTCTGAGCAGCCTAAAACTCCTTGCTCCCTCTGAACTAGTATTCAGGGGATAGGGGTGGAAGTGTTTAAAAACCTCCTGTCTTTGTGACTGCTAAGAATGGCATCTGCAGCTGGATTCCATTTGCCATAAACCCAAATTTTGCTCTTTAAAAAACAGTATTTTCTTTTCTGCAGAATTCTAGTACAATACATATATCAAAGTAAAGTATACTTCTCTACTTTTATTGCAAGTTGGGGAAGATAACTTTAAGATAACTCTAAGGATTCTCAGAGCAAGTTTTAAACATAACAATTAAGCCTGGATCAAGTGTGTCTTCTGGCAAGTTAATTTTAACACTTCTTCCTAAATTTCAGTTCTTATTAACTCATGATGGTTCGTTGCATTCCCCGCCACCTCTTCAAATGCAGTATCAAGTTCTGCAAGAGTGAATGTGTTAAGGGATCTTGCCTATGGAAGAAAGAACTGGAATGTATGAGAAGATGGTGACATAGGGGAAGGAAAAAAACCCCAAAATCGGAAAAAACCCCAAAATCCTATTTTTCAATAATCAGAATTCTGATTGGGTAAAAAAAATGCATGCAGATTATAGATGCAGAGACTGTCCCTGCTTTGGGACTGATTAAACAGGTAAGGGAGAGATTACCATTAGCAAATGCATTTAAATATTTTTCTGAAGTTCCAAAATTCACTCATAAAGTAATTGTAAATGTAGCCAATCTGCCATTTTGCAGGCAACATTTTAAGGCTCAGTTAAATACATGATAAAATTTCTCAGTTAAAAACATAATAAAACAATTTACAAAATATCAAACCAGATATGAAATAATGTTACACTGTGCGTGAGATATTTTCCTCAGCTAGGACAGAGTAAGGTTGGATGAGAAGGCCCCTCTCTTCAGCGACCATGGTGCTATAACCAAAGTACAACATTTTCGTCAAGCTAGAAAAATACTTACCCTTTTCTTTAGTCTTTCTCGCTCTTTCAGAGAAAGTGTATCAGCCTTTGCAATCACTGGTACGATATTTACTTTGTTGTGTATGGCCTTCATAAACTCAACATCCAGAGGCTTAAGGCTAAAATTAAAATATGGAAAAAGTTTTATTTATTTTGAATCTAAATTACAAATTTATTTTCACACCAATGGAGATCTCTCTCCTTACACAGAAAGAAGACATCCAATTAATTCCAGCAGGTCTAGTATTTCCGTAAGGAATGGCTATCTGATTCCGAAAATTTAACTCAACTGGCACAACCCAGCTCCCTAAAGTAAAAGAAAATAAAAATTAAAATGACAGAGAAACACCTACCCATGACCAAATGGTGAAATGAAATAGAAGCAGCAGTGAACCCGGTTATCTATGATATGTCTTCTGTTCAAACCACTCTCATCATGCAGATATCGCTCAAACTGCTCATCAATGTAAGAGATTATGGTCTTAAAACTGCAAAACAAAGATGGATTCAAGATTTCATGCTCGTTCCCAAGTGATCAATAATTTTAGTGATGTTTCAAAGGCAATATTTAAACACCAAGACATCCCGCTGATGAACAAATTTAATCTAATGATGCTGTAAGACTGTAAGAGTAGAAGGGCACATTTCTTAAAATATTAACTGAATTTCAATTTAATTTCAGAGTAACAAATTACTATGCATTTTTTTATATTAAGGTAAAATATACACATATATAACACACATCTTAACTTGCACAGCAAATTTCTCAGCAGTTTTACCCTTGGGAACTACATCTGCCATAGATAACCGGACAAGATGGGATGCATCTTGTTGGTTCCCATGGACTTAGGTACATTCAAGTTCCTCAGGTGGCTTCAAACCTGATTTTCAGTTAGGATGGAAGGGACTTCTTTTCCTCAGCCCCTGCCTTGAGGTGCAGGGGCTTGAGAGATGTGGGAAGAGAGATTACCACTGAAAACTGATTGCCACTTATCTCAAGATTATTTATCAGTACTTATTATAATAAAAATTTCTCAATCAGACCCAAAGATTATGAAAATGCACTTAAAAATTAAGAACAAAATCTGAGAATGCTCAAATGAATGTGGACAAGATCTAAAGGTGGATTTATACTTGCACTAAAGACTAGATGAATTATTTTCATAGAGTATTGTTGAATTTCTTGTGTCCCAGTGGTTCCACTGCTTGCTGACTATAAAAAACAGTCAAAGTCACCCTTCACTCTTCAAAACATAAAAGCTACCTAAGAAAAAAAAATCAAAATATCTGTGCCACAAAATTCATTTCAAGTTGTGTGGAAGTTATTGATGCCTCTTTACATGTATCTGAATGAACTCTGAACACTTAAATTAAGCTTCCTCAAAGTTAGAAAACACGCCCATCTCTCTCTCAAAAAAAAAAATCACACCTCAAATTCAGCACACCAAGACACCAAAAATAAGGCAAGATAATGACTTAACAGTATAATCAATTTGAATCACTTTTGGAACAGAAGTGTTTAAAAGAGCTAGGGACATCCTCCTTTGAACTGCATACTGTTCTGAATACAACCCCATTTTGGTTACTTATTCCCCCTCCATGCTCCCAAGACAAGTATGAAATAGATGTTAGACTTCATGCATAGATCAATCTGTACCCTGTGTACGTACCAGTCTCGACAGTTGATAGCATCCCCATATCCTGGTGTATCTACAACCGTCAGACGTAGTTTCACACCTCTCTCTTCAATTTCAACTGTTGAGGCTTCAATCTGCACAGTGCGTTCAATCTTCTCTAAAAGACAATAAACTTGATCTTTCAGAATAGAACTTATAAAACTATGTCATTTTGAGATAAACAAAAAAGATTAATTGGCAGAGGCAACTGTATAAATGTTATTCCATGGATTACCTTCTAAGGCCTGATAACAGCAAGACTCAGTACTTAAGTTCTTCAGATTTTGTGAGATTATTTGAGACTTCACATTGTTCTCAAATATCATGTAGAAACTAAGGTAAAAGGGACTGAGAAAAAACTGTATGTAATCAGCAATTTGAAGAACAATACTGAATTATATGTAATGGATTTTTTCCCTAAGGTTGAAAGTGATAAGTAATCATCAGCTAACATGATAAACTATTAAGGCGAGTCATTCAACAAGTAGCAGAAAACAGCATCATCTTCTATCTTCTTACCATTTTCTCTTTTGTTGGATTATTGTATGCCTTGGTTAACAGAATAAAAAAAGGGACAAGAGACTGAAAAAGGAAAGGAGCTGAAATTCATATTCACTAAAAACCAACACAAAGCAAAGGAACCAAGCTGCAACTCCAAGCAGGCATAAACAATGCATATGTTTAGAATTGCAACAGATTAAAAATTAAGGGAAGTTTTTGATCAGTTGATTGTTTATCTTGCTGTGACACCATGACTTTTTTTTCAAAAGAAGGGATCAGCCAGGTGCCAATATGAATACATTCAAGGACTACACGACAAAGACCCCATATACATCCTGGGTATGGGGGGAACCAATTCTATCAAACAGATCAAGTATTGGGAAATATATTAGAAATTATTACAGCTAGAAATCACTACTGGCTGTTACTAACACTGAAAGGTAAAAGCATTCAACTCCAAAAATCATCAAGAACAGAGAAACTAGAACAAAGGTGTGTTTACCAGCAGCTCCTGGGATTATCCTTTCTGGGTAGAGATCTGTCAAGAAGAGGCTGTTTATTAATGTAGATTTTCCCAATCCAGATTCACCTGTGATTCAATATAAAGATGAATTCAACATATATACAGAAATAATTTCAATTGTATCCAGACAGTACCACCTGACTATGCATTTTTTCATGTTAAATCTAAATCTTTTAATTGAGATTTAAAAATTTACAGCTTATAATTTTGTATTAGAAAAGTCTGCACAAAAATGTTGAATAACAACTTTTACATCTCAGCTTTATAATACACTTTCTCAGAGCTTTCACTGATTATCTGTAATTAAATCTGCTAGTTAAGGGGAGCTCTGATCAATTTAGACTTAAAATTTCCCATTTCATGTCTCCTGAACTTTTAAGGCATGCTCTTCTGCAGGTTTTATTTCAGGTATTGATAGAATTAATTGTAAAAAGTAAATGTTAAAAATGATGGGCCGCATGATGCCTCTGAGTAACACAGACTATTCTGCAATATGATTCTGACAAAAACATCTGAACGAAAGAAAAAGAAAGATGGGATTATTTTTAAAATAGAGATTTGACTAGAAGCTGTCAGGGTTTAATGCCTTACAGAATGCATCTCTCAAGATCAGGTTTTACCAGTGCAGCCTTCACCAGTGACAGAGACACGCAGGCAGTCACTCAACAGTCACATGGCATCATTTCAGCAAAACCAAAAAAGTCTGATTTTAACCAGTGGCACATTCCATACTTTCAGTCTGGGTAAATATTACATGTAAAACAAATCAGTTTTCATAGTTACTGTCAAGATTTAATGAAAAGGGTACTTATTCTAACTACTGGCCACAGGAGTTAAGAGTTTAGTGATTCTCAAGTGAAATAACTATTTAGATGAGGTCATAGCTTAATAATAAGAACAAATATGAAATTGTTAACAAATACAAGTGGTTAAGATTTCTTTGGAAGCAACACAGCCAAGCAGTCAAACTGTTATAAACCCCAGCTCATATTTTCACAACCACAATAAACAATAGGAGAAAAAAACAATGCAAAGAAGAAAAAAATCATTGATTAGGACTCTGTCAGTGCAGACGGCTTTTAAAGAAACATTCTCCTGCTCAGAAATCAGGAAACATGACAACTTAACAAAGAATAATAGTTTAATACAAGCACTGTGATATGGCCTACATACTGAAACCCCATGCGTATTTCAAGAGAAAGAATTTACATTCCGAACTGTTGAAATAATCAACAATTTAAAGCATGGTTTATTTTATCTTACATCGACTGCCTCCCTCTGTTAGTGTATCTTAAAATATCATTCCAAATTTTCAATGAAATTACTTTTCTCCAAGTTCTCTTCCTATAGTTTTCATTTATCCCTTAGAATACTGGCAGGCAGTGACCATAAAGTTAAATTTTACTCTGAAACATGGATGTGGTTAATGGCTTTTGTTACTCTGACAACATGTCATCTCTCCCCCCTCTTTTCTATTTCACAAGAGGTTAGAAACAACTGTTTGGTCTATATAATTTTCCACAGCTTTCTGCCAGAACTCTTTCACATAGCATGATCTGCAATTCATCTCAGAGATCTGGAAATTTAAGTTTAGCTGCAGCAGAGAAAGCACATCTTCTGGTTTTCAGAACCCTTTAAATTTTCAGGATCACTGAACAGTAAATTCTGAAGTTACAGTAGATACCATAATGGGAAACATCTGCTTATAGTTCGGCTTTACCCTTAGCTTTTATAAGATATCCATTATGATTTTATCCTAGGCAAATCCAATGAAAGATACAGTAAACAACTATAATAAAATCCAGGGAAGAGAAAAATAAGGGCCAGGTCTGTCCAACACTGAACTACAATAGACAGAAACAGGATAAATGCAATGCCAGGGCTGTCATTTGGCAAAACTAATGAAAGGTTTGAGGACAGACTCTTGCTGTAACTACTGTAATTCAAAACAATTAAGAACTCAAACACCTCCTGTGATGTACCGCCCCACCTCTCCTGCTCATTTGCACTGTGATCTCCCTCAGACAAATCTAACACACAAATGGGATTTACTTCTTGTGATGCCAGGTAATAAAGAACCTAATTCTATTAGGGTACTTTTTACAAAAGCCTATTTAAAAAGTGACAATTACAGAGTTCAAACACCAAAAGTCTGAAGTTACAGCTCCCGAGCAGTATGACCAGGAGAGATACAGAAGACGCCTAAGCCTGATTTGGGAGCCAACTTAATTTGCAAAAATAACACTGACTTCTTGGAAGATCAAGGTATTTCTGCAGACATACTAGATTTTTCTTTCAATTCTAGACACCAACACAGATTCTCAATGAAATATCAAACAGAATTAAACCTTAAATTGTAACTGCTAACATAAAATCAAGATCAATTTAACAGGTAACAGCTCTCATCAAAACCAACTAATTCAAATCTCGTTTTTCTCTTACAAGAGTATTGAGAAGGGGTGGAAGGATCAGAGTTAAGTTCTTTCAAACTACAGAAGCATAAACAACATTGTAAATACTCTCCTAGTGGAAAACAGCTGCAGCATAAATTAATAAGCTATAAAAGAAAGTTAAATGCTACAGTACAGAAGACTTTCTGATGCAAGCTGGAACCTCACAACAGTGGAAGTAACATTCGTTTTAATTCCAGATTCCCTGTAAGTACTAATTTTGAGAAAGACTATAAAACGTTTCCTTACCAACCACCATAAGAGTAAATTCAAACCCCTTTTTCACAGACTTCCGGTGAACTTGATTGGGAAGGTTTGCAAATCCAACATAGCCAGGGGTTTCTGGATTGGTAAACTGAGCAGGCTGTTGCTAAAAATAAAATAAAATAAGACAATAATAAGCAACCACTCAAGACATAGTTGTTTGTGTAACTGCTTTCTTCAGTAACTTCACATGGGTTGAAGTACGTGACAAATGGAAAGAAAACTACATAGGTGTCCATACTGCTCAACAGTTTCACAATGAAGTACTGAGCAACTGCGTTCACCTAGAGCGTAAAAAGGAAAAATGTTTCATAGACTCAACTATCCAGACAAGATCACTTTAAGTAAAAAAGAAACAAAATCCCTAACGTGTATGTATCAAAGTATGAAGTGCATTCACTAACAACACACTTTTTAAACAGTATCTTCATACATGTTTAAAATAAGGATCTTGTGTCCCATGTTTATAGACTTAAATAAAAAGGTGACCATTTCTGATCTGGTTTTAGACCATCGATATGAAACCCCTGGAGACAGAAGTGCCAGCCAGGTGCTCAAACTCCTCTTTAGAGATCTCTTTGGGGGGGGCGTTTACACAACAGCTTTCAAATGCCCACTGCAACAAGTACCCCAGAGAAATCTTCAGACCTATTAGTTTCCCCTCATCAAACAGTCTTTATCAGTCACTTCAATCAGATAATGTGGATGTTCTAGCCATTATACCAAATGCAGGGGACCAAGAACTAGATGAAAGCCAGCACATCAATAGTATTTTAAGTTACCACATTGTTTATGAAGGGTTTTACTGGAAGATCAGGTGACTCTATCAGTCATCAGACTCTATCAATAATTCAAATCTAAGAACATCCTTTTCTTAAATGATTCCTGCTCCCAACACAGCAGCAGAATGGAATTTTCAATGAAAATGCACGAGGGAGCTTGTATGCAACTCCATGACCAAAATTTAAGAGTACCACTTAGCTGCAGAGATTTACACTTGTAAGAAACTACTTTAATATATGTTTTACATCACTCACTTTCAAAACTATGTCTTCTAAGTGTGAATTCCCTCTTATTTATGACCCATAAATTTAGCATACACATCACCATCAAATATGATGCAAGTTACACATTCTGCCCTTGCAGATTAATATTTAAAAACAAAATACATCTTCCACGTTGTTACACTGGAAGACAGAAATGTTATTCTTACCTTGGACATTTTTATAGAAGGTCAGGAACAAACCTGGAAAAAGAATTATGTTTTTCAGCTTATTAAAAATCATAGGAGAAAAAAAACAAACAACAAACCAAACCAAACCACAAACCAATATAATACCCACTGTTGCACACTAAATTAAAAACTGGAGGACTCTCAATTCGATGTCCAGATTTTGAAACAGTGCTAATAGCCTCACTGAGTACAGGTATTTGACTCTTTGGTAATGTCAAGGGGCAGATTTTTCAGCAATCATTGTTCCTGTTAACATCACTGGACAATAAATTCAAGCAACACAAATGTAGGATGCTAAAAGCACCAGATGCTTTACAAACCATTTTGAAGCCTGAAAAAGCTCACATCCTTTCCGGAAACTAACTAAACCAAACACACTGCTTAAAGACATCTTACTTTTTACAGGAAACAGTTTTTCATAGCTAAAGAAACCAACTCATTTGTCTTATTTTTTCTTTCTAAGCCTCCTTCCCCTCAGCATTTCCTTTCACATTTGGGTGTCTGTTAAGAGCTGACAGCTTCAAAATGAACCATTCTCCTCTCCTTCGTCTGGATGCCTGCAAACTCAGTCATTTTAACTTCTGTTGCCAAGATAAGAATTTCACATGCGGCTGCATCACTTAGAAATACAAAGCAGACAGGAAAAAAAAACTCTCTCATCTAACACCTCTGCAAAAAAGTCTCTAGACAAACCAAGACCTGCCAACACTTCTATTACAACAACTTACATGAGTTCAAGAGATCATATAATTTACTATGGCAATACAAAAACGTCAGTATATGCTGTATCTTCAAGTGACGAGTGTCTCATGTCCCCTGTCCAGTCCCTCCAACCAAAAATGTCTCTGCTCCCACTCACAAAGCTGATAAACCACAGCCACCTCTTATCTATCTGGCTCACTTCCATTTTCATTCTACAGAAATTACCACTGTCTGATTCTTTCTGGCTTCCAAGCAGATTTTTGTCAGCACGTTCAGCTTCAGGTGAAATGACACCCGACTGCTTCAGTGTAGAGCACCCTTCAGGCCATCCCTCCCATCAGAAAGCCACCTTGGAAGTCAAAGCAAACTGCTCAGGGTCAGACAGGCAGGAGCCCAAGCTTTCTTGAGCTAGGGAGAAGGCAAAGCTGTTTTCAAATTGGTGATGATTTCCAGCACCTATGGCATTTGCTTCTCAAAGCTACTGTATACATATATATATATATATACAGGTGAAACCTCTCTTCAGTTTATTAAGATGCAATTTTTTGATTTGCCATGATTACTTCAGTGTTAACAATTTCCAAGATGCTTCCCTGCCCCAGTAAGGAAGAGGCCAGCTCTCAGGAAGGCTTTTTGATGGGAGGGACAGACTGAAGGCACTAAACAGTGAAGCAGTTTGGTGTAATTTCACATGAAGCTGAACTTACTGACAAAAATCTGGCATCCTGATTACACACACTTGGAATAAAAACTGGATAACATGCTTCTCAAGTGAATTTTCATGCTAAAAATAAAATCCAGTATCTGCAGTGTCTATATTTCAGTCAATATGCTGCTCTATGACCTATGAAGTATTCAACTACTGAAGAGGTTATCTGTGAGACTTTTATCATCATGCAAGATTGCTCAGATAGCAACTCTTCCTTCCAAGAGTGTTTCCTGCCCAGTGATGTCATTGATCCCTGCTTAACCATTCTCCATGAGAGATTCCAACGCCAAACAAAACGAGATCCTGCTAGAACACAGAAGAACATTCTTCTAATTCACGAGGCTCGTCTGTCACCCAGCTATTCCTCAGAGGCAGGCTAAGAGCGGAGGAAAGCTTCTCACAGCTACCACAAAATGAAGGAGAGCTATTTATGCAGATGGCTGCTGTTACATTACGTTTTAATCTATGAACCAAGCACAGAAGTCTTTCACGAGAGGTCTTTCCCACAGCATTCCCCTCGGGGCAGCGGCTGAGTGCTCCCACACAGGCAGGCGCACGCCATTTCGGAGCAGTCCAGATTTTCCTCTGGAGCTGGTCCATCGTGTTCCTTACCCTCTGGTTTCAACAACCCGGCGGGAGTTTTCTACCAGAGCATCTTCTGAAGCGCGGCGAGGGAACGGCACT